TTCCACAATGGTTGTATCATTTTACAGTCCCACCAGCAGTGTATGAGAGTCCCAATCTCTCCACAACCTCGCCAGCATTTGTTATTTTCTGTCTTGTTTCAAATGAAGGTTTTGAAAGTTGTGTAATTTTATTTGTTAAATCTTTAGTACATGCTACATTAGAACCTGAGGAAATGCCCTCAAAGAGAATTAACTCACAATCTGAGAGAGAAACAAGTTAGTGTTCAATGACTACCATTAGTGCTGCAGATTTTATTATTGCCAGTCTCTCTTGTATGACAAAGGGAACATGTGGAGCCAGCTCCCCTGATGAACATGCATTTTTCACCCATTAAAAAAAGAGAAATGAAAAATTATTTTTGGCTTAACAGTGACTATAAATGCAAAAGATATCCTCAGTGTGAACACACCCTCCTAAGACTACGTATAATGTTTTTTTAAATGCCAGTTTTTACGTACTTACTCTTGAATTGACTTGAATCAGAACATAATTTCTCTAAGACTTCTTTGATTATTCTTCCTTTTGCTGCATTACTTATTACTATTTTTTATTTAAATGTGAATATTCCTAATTACGAAGTACATATATCTTGTTTCTCTACCGCTAACTTGACAGCAGGCATATACAGTACAGTAACTGCCACATCAATATTCCTTTCCTCAGCTCTTTGACCTTGCCAGTGCACCTGGCATACACTGCCAACCAATCTTTTCCCTGAATTATTTTCCATGACTATGGGGAGGTTTCTTAGGTCTTCAGCTATTCTCAAACTCCTTCACTGTGCTGACTGTCCTCCCACAAATAAAAAAACACGACTGTTTCTCAAAGTTCTGTCCCTGGTCTTCCAATATTATCACTTTTGGTATCTGGTCCACAATCATGCCACTAACTACATACAAATGACTCCTACTCTGTAACTGTATGATCTTGGAAACATCACACTCTCTCCTGGCTTCTGAAGAAAGATTAACTGGGTAACATCTAAGGCTGCTCTCCTTCCATTTCTATAATAACAAATATCCTGATATAAAGGACACATTGCTCCAAGTGCCAAAGCCAGGACAAGAAACACAATGCAGTTATTTCCACAGAAGAGAGGCTAAAATTCAGTATCTGACTTAATATGTATCTTCTTATCAGCTAAATTGGAGGTTTTGAAATATGACAATGCTACTATAAATACATCACCACAATTCAAAGTATACTGCCTTATGTACAGATATGTAACATGTGTGTAAAGCATTATTGGTGAGGTAGGGAGAGTGGTGATGCTAGAAAAGAAACACTATCTACTATGCGAAGCAGTGTTCCGCTCCAACTTTATGCAGTTACACCTCTCAACACCAAGGCAGGGAGGAAAACCAGTGTACACAAGAGGAAACTGATAAGACATTTTAAATTCACTTTCTCTTGTAAGGTTCATCAGGATTACACATGCCACAGCAGTAGTATATTTATAAATAACAGAACAATCTTATCTCCTTACCTCAAGGGTCATTATGAAAATGTATGCACCACCCTAGTCTCCCTCCTCAACACCAGGAGGAAATAGCTAAAACAAAAACCAGACTTGACTGAGCTGCTGCTACAATGCTAGGCATCTTCACTGGTTTGATCGACTGTTAGAACAGTAAAATGGGGAGATAAAAATGGCTGATGAGCTATACCTGGCCTGGAGGTTTGAAATGTCATTGTGCCTTACCCAAGAAATCCTTCCTGACCCCTTCAAGCTAGACCAAGTGTCTCTCCTCTATGCACCACAGCACCCTGGTGCAAGAAGCACAGCCCTACCACCTAGCACAATGTCTGACACACAGTACCCAAATATTTTGCTACAATGAATCCAGCTTGAATTTAGGAGTAATTTATATTTTTCAAAGTACAACTTAACCAGTTCTACCTAAAGAGCTTAAAAGTCTAGGTATCTCGATGGTTTAAAGGTCTAAATAATTACTGGCCTCTACTAACTCAATTCTTGATTGAAACATAATAAATACTCAACATTTTGCAACTTCAAGAATGAAATCTCTTTAACCTTCTCCCAAAAATCCATTTTAAAGATGTGAGAGGCCTACAGATGCTACGATCAACTAATAACCTAAACACAAATGTCAGGACCCTTCCTTTATAACCATGTCCATGGCTTCCTTCTCAAGCATTTGTCCATAGTAATTATTTAAATAAGACACTCTGGTGGTGTAGTGGGTAAGGCATTTGGCTACTAACCACAAGGTCTGCTGTTCAAACCCACTAGCTGCTCCACAGAACGAAGATGAGGCAATCTACTTCTGCAAAGATTCAGAGCCTTGGAAACCCAAAGGGCCTCATTCTAAGTTGGAAATGACTCAATGGCAGTGGTTGGTTTGTTGATTTAATGATTTAAATAGCCAATTACCTACTCATCTTTACATATTGAAGAAAACATCTATTCTCCAAATATGAAAGCCAGGACAAGAAACACATTGCAAATGTACTATTTTCACCAATTCAATACCTGACCCAGATATAATAACATGGCTTTTGAGTATGATCTATTAATTTAGACACAAAACATGCCCTTTTAATACTCATGGGACTTAAATTTTGAGCTGGTGGGTATATGTAAGATACAACTTGAAAACAGTATGCCTGCTACTACTGAAAAATGTTTCCCCTTTCAAATGTACACTTATCGCTGATAAAGGCTCAGCATGCCAACATGTAATAAGGATTAGTATACAAAATTTTAAGACTATGTATGCCTTACCTGCAGCTAACTCTCAGATAGTATATGGAGAAAGAAAACAAGATAAAGCATAAAGCAAACATGGCAAAAACTAACTGGTGGATCCAGGTAAAGAGTATAGTGATATTTATTTATTGTAGTATTCTTACAACTTTTCTGACATTCGGTAATTTTTTAAAATACAAAGTTGGAAGAGAAAATTTAAGGCTACAGGCTGAGACCTTCAAGATATTTTAAGCCAACCTTCAGAGTTTCCTTTCCTCCTAGTTCTATAGTGAGACAGCAAGGTTGGGTCTCTCATGGACAGAAATAAAACACAAACTGAAGGCATGAAGAACCCCCCCAAACCCTTGCAATTTGTCTTCCCTTCTGAAGACAATCATTCAAAATCTCAAACAAGTTTAACACGCTGAGAGGGATTTGGGGTTGTATAGTTCTATCAATGTTAGCTAAGCATGTGATTTTCTTGTATTTATGTCCACAGCGAACTGACTCAACTCAGTCTGACTTCAGTCAGGATAACTCTATATGCTTCCACTACCCTTTCTCCTCAAATTCTGGAATTAGAAATCAGGAGCCTCATGGCTAAATAGCAGAAAAATTCCTAAGAAATCAGTTTGGTTTAACCACTGGATAAACCACTGGAAAAGACAGTATTTTCCAAGTGCCTACTAAATGGTAAATATTTACAAACATTCTAGTCAAAGAAATCCTCACAATACTGAGGTGTAGTCTCAATTTTATAGCTAAAAAAATCAAAGTTCAAAAGTAAAGTGACCTTGGCCACTGAACCCATGAAAAGATGCTGAGTGTCAAGAGCTAAAAGAGAGATGCAAATCAAAACCACAATGAGATATTTTACCCGCAGAAGGATGGATAAGATTAAAAAACAAAACAAAACAAAAAAAAAACACACCACAAAGATAACAAATGTTGGCAAAAATGTGGAGAAACTGGAACTCATCTCCGTTGCTAGTGGGAATGTGAAATGATACAACTGCTGTGGAAAATGGTGGTTTCTCAAAAAATTAAAAAGAGAACTACCATGGAATTCAACAATTTTATTCCTAGGTATATACTCAAAAGACTTGAAAGTAAAGACTCAAACTTGTACACCAATGTTCATTGCAGGACTACTCACAATAGCCAAATAGCAGAAATGACCTAAATGCCCATCAAAAGATGAAAGGATAAACAAAATGTGCTACCTACACAAAATGAACTACTAAGCCAATAAGAGAAATGAAAGCATGATATATGCTACAGTATGTATGAAGCTCGAAAACATTTTATATTGAGTGAAATAAGCCAATCACCATAAAGGATAAATACTGTATGATCTCATTTATATAAAAAGCAAATGTACAGAGATCACACAAAGACTGGATAAATGATTACCAGGGATGAGGAGGAGAGGGAAAAGGGGTCAGAAAATAATAGAAAAATCACACTGATTAAGGGTAGGGTTGTACAATCAATTATTATAATTGCTGACAATAAGTTGCACACTTGTAAGAAGTTGAATTGGCAAAAGCTGTGCAACAGACATATCTACAACAGCAACAACAACAAAAGTGTAGCTGCTAAGGTTGCAAATATACAACCACAATCCTCATGAGATGTGGTTCCTTGCTTTGGAGGTTTAAGGTCATGGTTTCACAGGACATTCTAGCTAATAATGTGTTTACTGCTTCTGTTATCTCCTAGTTTGTCATGTAGTGCCTGGACACTTAAAAGATGGCGAGTAGCCATACAAAGCAAAACAAATGGTCTTTATTCACCTGGAGCAACAGAGAAGGAAGCGAGCCATTACCTCCATGAACAACTTTGCCATGAGACCAGAAGAAATGGATGGTGCCTGGCTACCACTACTGAACATTTTGATCAAAAAGTCCACAGAAGACTTCTGATCAAAAGGGGGAATGAAGAACAGAATTCTAAATTCTCAGGGACTCTAGACTAGTCATGGAAGGTAGCTGAACCCCTGAAACCACTGCCCTGAGATTATCTTTAAACCTTAAACCAAAAATATACCCTGAAGTCACCTTAAAAACAAAAAGTTTAGCTTAACTAAAAAATGTCTGCCTTGAGCACTATGCGTTTTAAAGATCTATATGGGATCAAATTAACAACAGCTATTTGAAAGGTAAGACAGGAACCTTAGAGCGCAGCGAGTTTGTTAATGTGGGAGGAGCAGCAACTCAGAAAGAGGGTAATTATGGCTGCACCACTCAAACAATATAATCAACGTCACAACAAAATAAATTCTCAACAACAAAATAAGTAAAATGTGTGTGTGTGGGGGGGAGGGGGTAAGTAAAGTGACTTGCTTGCCCAAGGTCACACAAGCAGTAAGCAGCAGAGCTAAAATGCAAACCCTGCTTGGTCTTTCCCCAAGCCCATGTTTTTGCCACATTATCAACTCTACCTCATTTATGTGAGCAAATCTACTCTCTACTCCTATGAACTAAAGGGTCTTTCCTTAAGGATCTCTCCTTAAGGATCTCTCAATCACCTTGAGTTTTACTATAAAAAATATTTAATACAAAATTCACAAGGCTATGTTATATGTTAGATGCTAACACATTGGCTCCAACTCAGAGCAACCCCATGGACAATGGGATCCAACTGTTGTGACCCAAAGGGTTTTCACTGGCTGATTTTCTGAAGTAGAGAACCAGGCCTTTCTTCTAGTCTTAGTCCAGAAGCTCCACTGAAACCTGTTCAGCAACATACAAGCCTCCACTGACAGATGCGTGGTGGCTACAGTTGAGGTATAATGGCCAGAAATCAAGCCCAGGTCTTGTACATGGAAGGCAAAAATTCTACCACTGAACCACTACCGACCGCGCTTATTCTCATGTAGGTGAAAAATTTAGTCATTACTAAGTTATTAAAATCTCATTGGCTTTTTACCATTGAGCTTTTCCTAAAAGCTGTTAGACTGTTCTTTATTAAATGATCATGAAGGCAAAGGAAATACAGATCCCAAACAGATGCCACACTGAACGAAGATCCAGAAAAGCAGCTTTCTGAAGAACAGATGTTAAGGACATTTTTCAGTGTCAACAAGTGAGAGGAAAACTTCTAGGACAACCACTTAAGGACAAATGACTAGATGCAAAGAATCAGGACAGAACACAATATAAGAGCTGTCTACTTCAGGTAAAAAAAAACTTAAATGCTAATTAAAAAAGACCAGCTTTGCTGGTCTGATAGAGCCTGGTGAGACCTCTGAGACTATAGTCCCTAGCTACCCTTCAGGTCTGCAATTTTGAACTCACTCCTGTGGCTTCCAGCCGAACAACAGACAAGCATATGGGGTAAACATTTACATCAGGTACACAGATATACTCCTCAGAGTGATCAATCATGGGGGAACAGAAGGGCAGTGTTGGCAAAGGGAGAAAACTTGGGGGATGGGAGTGCATGGGAGGGAAGGACACAGGGAAGAGGTAACTGTGGGGAGGAAGTGAGAAGAGAACTGTTAACAATGTGGAGAATTGCAGTCAATGTCACAGATAAAATGTGTAAGAACTGCTGTATGGAAAAGGAATTTGCTCTGTAAACTTTCACCCAAACCACAATAAATATTGAAAAAAAAAAAAAAAAAACCACAAACTTAAATGCTCATCAAACCAAACTAAACTCACTGCCGTTGAGTTGATTTGACTCATAGCGACCCCTCCTTAGGTATCTGAAGTGGTATTTCTATGGGAGTAGATGGCCCAATCTTCCTTCTGAGGAGTGGGTGGTGGTTTGAACTGCCATCTTTCTGGTTAGCAGTCAAATGCCCTAGGCACTACACGACCAGAGGTCCCTAAATGCTCATACTAGCAGAAATTTACTTATGCCCTTGGTAAAACTGAAGAATTTAAGTTATTTAAGAAATGTTTCACAATGTCATAAAGAGGCAACAGTCATAGTAAAGACTAACTTAACTCTGAATATGGAATTTATATGCAATAACACAAACACGTAAGTTCAGTTTAAATATTCTCCATAATTTCACAAAATCAATTGCTAACATTCAGTGAACTTGAAATTCTCTTCCCTCCCTCAGAAAGGGCTACTTCTGCCCAATAATTTTCCATTCAAGTCTGTAAGAAGCTGTAGTCTAGGGCCTGCAGTAAGGAAAGGGAAGGAAAACCAAAAAGAGTCTTACTCTGAAAGAGGTCAGAGGACCCACATACACAGGCAGTTCGACAACCCAAATTGTAAAAACCACACATCCACTTCCCTGTTTTACAAGTCAAGCTCCAGGAGAAAGAAAACTGATTAGTTTCTAAACTGTAATTCTCCAAAAATATATGAAAAAGCAAGGAAGTCCACAAGTGACTGGAAGTAAAACTCCAGTCTAATCACCTGTACTTCTCAAGAGTAGAGAAGTCACATTTCCTAAGTTTCCCATGATCAATCAGGAGGCTTCACTTTGTTCTGAAATGATGTATATGAAAGCACCCAGGCGATAATGCTAAGGCCCATGTTAAGAATTCAACAAATGTTAAAAATATTAAATCTCTGTTGTTAAGATATCTAAGGACATAAACACTGCCATCTAGGTAGGTCAAAAGACAGTTTTGGTTAAGGAAATTATTTCGTTCACTGTGCAACAGGCTCACTGGCATTGTATACAAATTACAAACAGGTTGCAATTTATCAAGATAATTTCTTTAAAACGAGAGAAAAGGATTTTTCACCTTAAACCAATGGAACTATATATTCACCTGTTTCTTCTCTATTACTAAACCTCAAAGTACGACATTTCATATCCTCTAAACAAACCAATCCAATTTCTAAAAATTACAGCTTCCTTGAACTTTAAACAGGGGAAAGTAATCCATGGTGTTAGGACAGTGGTTACCCTGGGGGTGAAGGCAAGGCAGTGAGAGAATTAAAACTGTGTTAGAGTGGGACTTCTGTGTCAGTTCATTCACTGTGGGAACCTGTAAAATCTGTACTTATCTGTAAGTATGCTATACTTCAACTACCTATTAACTAATTTTTTTTGGAAAGGATTTGAAAAATGTCCACATTATTTTTGGAAAGAAAATCTAAGTTCATCCCACCAATACTCGAAGTAAAAAAATTTTAGTGACAAAATCCATTTTACCAGTATCAAATAAAAAGGTCTAACTTGGACTAGAAGTAGGCAAGCTCTCACAGGAGTTTGGAACACTGGCAGCTAATTCCATGAGCATACAGAGGGATGTGAAATGACTCCTCTGCTATCACAAAGAGAAAAAGATGACACAATCCATTAATGCCCTAAGAAGCATATCTAAAACGTAAGACACCTACAGTGCTGCTTTGGGGCTAAAGAAAAAACAAACACCCACTAAAAGGAAAAAAAAAAAGACCAAACCCGCTGTCATCACAGCAACCCTATAGGGCAGAGCAGAACTGCCTCATGGGGTTTCCAAGGCTGTAATATTCATGGAAGCAGAATGCCACATCTTTCTCCAGGAGCGGCTAGTGGGTTCAAAGTACCAGCCTTTCAGTCAGCAGCCGAGCGCTTAACCACTGAGCCACTAGGTTTTCTAAACATATACTACCTACCCTAAAGGTTATCGAAGTGCTTTTGTAACCAGACCTTACCTTATTTGCATTGCCTGTACGCGAAGGCCGCTGTAATCAACCTCTTTTTGCTCAAATTCTTTCCACTCATCTTCATCCTGTAAAACAAATACCCTTTACTGAATTAAAGAACATATAAACATACAACTACGCCAAATATCAGAATATGAAAAGGGATCAAGTGGCTGGAACCTAAATTAAGTATAGACCCTTTTCTGGCCTGAGTCCTTGCTTGTTCCCGAGGCAGACTAGAGGACGAGCCTGCTCAGCAGCCAAACACTGTTACTTCCTCCTGGTTCCTTCAGGAGAGCTGTTAACTTTAAAGCAACCCAGAAAAGCGAAATGAACAGTAATTCCACAACAAATTTCTACCAGTTGCCATGAGACTTTTTAAAGTCTTTCGTTTAGGGGCGTAAAGACCAAGTCCTGTCAACAGAGGTGCTATAAATGCGACTGTTTAAGAGAATTCAGCTCAAACTAGCGGGATGCAGTCAGAACACCCATTACTCAGAACAGACGTCACTCAGTAAATGCTCTTAGCAAGGCACTTCAGACCCAGACCAAGTTTCTCCTGAGGGTGCTGAAGACCCAGTCTTGGCTGAAGCCTAGCGACGCAGAGTGGAGAGCGGTGGTGTCAAAAGGGGTCCCGCGTTCAGACTAACTAGCCGGCGTGGGGAAACCCACGTCACGTGGCGGCCTCTGCGCCCGTCCGCCCGCTGCCCGGCCCCCGGAGCCCCTCCCGGATGCTGCCCCAAGAGGACGGGGGCGGGCACATGAGCGGGCGGGCGCGCGCGGCCAGGGCCCTGAGTACCAGCCTCTTCGACCCCTCACCTTCGTCACGGCCTTGGTG